GGCAGCGGAGAAAATCCTCAAACTGCTGGAGAAAGGCCTGGACCCCAACTATCACGACACGGAGACCGGAGGTGGGGAGGGGAGCACTCACTCCTGTTAATGGGGACGGGGTGGGGGTGGGGTCCCGTTAATGGGGACACGAGTAACGGGAATCAAACCTGTTATTCCCACACTCAACGGTGCGTCCCGTGAAGCGCTTTGAGACGTCTCAAAGCCGTGATAAGGCGCTATATCAAATGCAAGGATTATTATTATTATTATTATTACTGAGGATGAGACTTATCTCTGCTGCTCCCTCCCTCCCTTCCTCCCTCCCTCCCTCCTTTGCCGTGCGCAGAACTGATAAGATGCACAGTCACTACGCTCGGCAGCCATTTACCTCGAGTCCGCCGGCCCACGTGAAATCAAACGGAAGAGGTTTGGTCATTGTTTTAAGTGCCTCAAAAAAAGCAGCGAGTCCCCAAGTAAATCAGACCATTAAGCGCTTTGGGACGTCCTCCTGACGTGAAAAGCGCAATATCAAATGCAAGGATTATTATTATTATTATTATTAAACCCCACCCCCCGCGTTTTTAAAGCACTTTGTTCCCTGTCAGTTTCTCCGAGCTCCGGCCCTGTAAATGGTGTGTCGGCTTAAGGTCCCCAAAGGAGAGAGCAGACTTCCTTGGCTCAGTGAACGATGGGCTAATAACGGTTTCTGCTGTGCAATTGCTTCGCGAACGGCCGGAGCTTATTGTTTCGAGGCTCTTGAGAAGGTGGGAGGAGGATTGAGAAAGCCCAGTGGCACGTTTCCGTGCTTAACGTTTCGGGGTGGGGTGGGTGGGGGGGGGGAAATCCCGAGGAGAGAAGAAAATCGAAGCTACCCCGGTTTTGAAAGCTCCTCGCGACCTCGGACGCTCGTCGGCCTTTCCCAGCTCCACAAGCTGAAGGTCATCCAGAGCTCTGGCAGCTCGTGTCCTCTTCCCGGCCAGGCTCCGTGACCCATCACCCCCCCCACCAACACCCTCCCCTCCCCTCCCTTCATCCTCCCCTGACCCCCAACCCCCCAGCAAACTTGGGAACGTCCTCCCGACGTGCAGAATGTCATCTGTTGTTGCTGCAACACAAGAAACCAAAGGGAGGAACACTTGTTCCAAGAGAGTACTTTCCCAGTTTCCCGTCCAGGAAAAAAAAACTGCATAAAATCGGTCGTTGAATTCCTGGGGCTGTTGGCAGGAACGTAGCTGTAAATTGCATTCACTGCACTTCACAGTAATTCCCGTGAAGTATGTCTACTCAACGTGAAAGGCGCTATATCAAAGGCAAGGATTACTGAGGAGTAGATGAGAGGCCGCCAGATAATAGCAGCTAATAATCCTTGCATTTGATACGGTGCCTTTCACATCACTGAGGCATCTCAAAGCGCTTCACAGGGCTTTTTCTTCCACTGCGGAGTGACTGCGCCGAAACCACTCCCCGTTGAGCAGGCGGAAGGATGTTCAGGGAGGTGTTTCGGAAGCCCGGCGGTTGGTTTACGCTCATCCGAACTCAACGAGATCTGCCCCCCCCCCACCATCCCCTCCCTCCGCCACCACCCTTTGGAACTCCATCCCACAGTTACTTGGCCTCTCTCCCTCCCTACCTCCCTCCCTCCCTCGCCTCCTCCAAGGCTTGTCTCAAGACCATCCCCTTTGGCCGCGCCATCGGTCACCCTCACTCCCTCCCTCTAACCCTTCTGATCCCGATCCCGACCCCACCCCCGCCCCCCCAGCTCAGGTCCGAATCCCTGCCTTGCCCAGCACCTGCGTGAGGGTCCCTTTAAAAGAAGTACTTGGTTCATTGACGTTGCCAGCGCATTCGCGTCGGTGGGGGACAGAGCGTAGTCACATCGCACACGCATTGAGCACCAGCAATGTCCGATGGGATAATTACTACCCACCGATTCACAAACTCCCTCCCTCCCTCGAAGGCTCTATAACCCCACGGAAAAGCCATCGGCCAACTGACTAAGGTTAGCAGTCAGGACCTAAGTTTAGTCTCTCATTTATGTGGACCTCAGAATAATATCAAAGTATTCGATACCTCCTCCTCTCATCTCTTGCACATTAAAAATAGGCCTTTTTAATTTCGGGCTGTTTTGCGTTAAATTATTACACGCCCGGGCTCGACTCTGCGTGCGTTCTGTCAGGTGCGCGGGAGACGAGCACTCAGCAGATTTGCGATCGGCAGCTTTTGGTTAGAAACCCAACGAGAATGGCACATCTCTTGCGTTGCACCGCCCCACGTCAGCCCCCTCTACCGAGCCCGTGTCTTGGTGTCCCGATCGTTCCTGTGAGTCATTTCCAGGTCGGTGGCAAAGGGGCCGCGAGACAAACCTTTCGTGGTCTGGAGACGCCTCGAAGTGCTTTGTAGGATTTCACAGGAGAGTGCGTTTCTAGTGACTGCGTTTCTAGTAGGTTTTCCGAGGGGGTAATAATAAATCCACGTCCCCCCCAAAAAAATAATTTGGTCCCTCAATCCGCGGCCGTTTGTGGGACACTGCTGCGCGCAATTGGCTGCCGCGTCTCGCCGGCAAAATGCACAGTCACTGCGCTTTACAGTGTTATCCTGTTCAGGGCTGTGAGACGTCCTGATCGAATGCAAGGACCGTCGTCGTTATTATCTTTATTACTGTTATTTCTCAACTCGCAGCAGCTAACGACCATTTGAGCTGCGAGCCGGGACATCAAACGGATCCCCCCCCTGCTGGATGCTGTGCTTCATGCATAATGCACGGGGCGTGCGTGTGCGCGTGTGTGTGCGTGTGCGTCAGATCGAGCCAGTCCCGGCCGGGCTCATCTGCAGCAGAAACCGTCCTGGAGCCAAACTTGAAATAGATGTGCAATATTCTCAACGTGTGTGTTGTTAGAATTTAAAAAAAAAGCTCACGTGACTTCCTCCCCCATCCCTCCCGCACCTCCCTCTCTCTCTCTCTCTCTCTCTCTCGCTCTCTCTCCCCACCCCCCCCCCCCCCGCCACGCTGAGATTGATGAACCATTGCCGGCTCGGTTTATTTTTAGCGGCTCGCTCCATTAAGCTCCGGACTTGGCAGCAGAAGGTTGTGGGTGGATTCCAGCGGGTTCCACTCAGCGCTTTATCTATCATTTTCTGCGGCCAATTTGCAAACGAGCCTCGTCGCCAAACACCGGCCTTTGTTGTGAGAAAGTCTCTGGGGTGACAGTCGGCTCAAAGGAAACGCCGGGCGGAGAAGCCGGCACACTCCCGGGGGGTGTCCCGACTATCCTGGTTGGGGCTCAGCGTCAAGGAAAGCTGCGTGAGGAGAAGGAGGTTATAGTAATAATAATAAAATAATAATAAATAATCGGACTACGCTGTTGAGGCATCTCAAAGCTCTTCGCAACTGTGGCTGCCGGGCAAAATCCGCAGTCACTCCGCTTTGCCGTGCCCTGGGAAGCGCTTTGAGACGCCTCGAAGACGTGATAAGGCGCTGCATCAAACGCAAGTGCTGTTGGCGTCATTGTCATTGACAGTGATGATAAGGCTTGACCGGCAGACGCGACTGACTGCAAACCGCCCGTCACCTCCGCTGTTTGCCGGGGGCGCCGACGTGCGCAAATGGCGTCCGCTTTTGGTCCACACGCCATGCGGCCGATTCGCTCCGCGGTGTATCCTGTCAGGCGCTTTGAGACACCCAACAACTCTGAGCTGAGCTGGGGGTCGGGGAGGGAGGGGGCGGTGATCAAAAGCTCGGTCGAAGAGGAGGGTCTTGAAGGCGGCGAGGGGTGGGGGGGGGGGCGAGGCGGAGGGCCTGCGGGATGGAGCTCCAGAGGGTAGGGACGCAGAGTGGCAGAAGGCCTGCGCGCCAACGGTGGGGTGAGCGAGACGGGGGGGGGGGTGGGGTGGGGGAAGTGAAGCAGGCCGGAGCCCGCTGAGCGGAGGGCGCGGACAGGGTGCTCGGGGGTTAGGAGGTGGCAGAGGCAGCCTCGAAGATGCGAGCACGAAGGCGCTACACCAAATGCAACCGTTAATTATTATTATTATTATTATGAACAATAACGATGAATGATGAGGGCTGACTTTGGGGACAGGTGCCCCTGCGTGGAGCTAATCTCGTTACTGTAGTTTTCCAATTGCCTGGTGAGCAATGCCGTGAGGATTACATGACGAACGCATTTCTTGTTCATTAAAACCATTTCAACTTCTTAATGCGTTGGAACTAAATTGGAGCCGGGCTCGATGGAGCTCTCGAGACCCGAAGATGTGTGTCACTCGACTCAAGGCTCGCCAGGTGTTTTTTTTTTTTTTTTTTTCTCTTCCACGCAAGCACTCCGGCGGGTGATCAGAGAGCTGGGGGGCGGGGAGGGTGGTGGGGGTGCGCGCAGGGGGGGGAATGTGATCAGGAGTCGATTCCCTAATAATAATGCAATTATCATCCTTGCGTTTGACACAGCGCCGAGACCGTCGCAACAACTGCAACACAAAGCACTTCAGGTGTAATTGTTTTCAAGTGTAATAGCGACTGCGTATTTTTAGGCTATGCGGCAGGCCATCTGCACACAGCAACGTCCCCCAAATGACCGCCAATTGGACGGCCGTGTGTTTTTCTCCTCTCCCTCCCTCTCTCGCTGGGAGTCTGTCGCGGGTTCCGGGTATGACGTCCTGTTTAAAGCTCTCCCTGAGCGAGCGAGAGGACCCTGAGCGAGCGAGAGGACCCTGAGCGAGCGAGAGGACCCTGAGCGAGCGAGAGGACCCTGAGCGAGCGAGAGGACCCTGAGCGAGCGAGAGGACCCTGAGCGAGCGAGAGGACCCTGAGCGAGCGAGAGGACCCTGAGCGAGCGAGAGGACCCTGAGCGAGCGAGAGGACCCTGAGCGAGCGAGAGGACCCTGAGCGAGCGAGAGGACCCTGGTAGAAACGCGGTTGCTGGTCGATTGGAGGCTCGCTGACCGGGGATGATAATTCCCCCCCCCCCTCCCCCACCACCCGCCCCCTAAAAAAATAATAATAATGATTTGGTCACTCAATTCACAGCTGTCCGTGGGACGCTGCTGTGCGCATTCGGCCGCCATTCGGTTTCGCCCACAAGATATAAGG